CAATAATTTACTATGGCACCTTATATGTGCCAGACACTGTTCTTAGCAATTTACAGATGTAAACTCATTTGATGATAACGTATGGAAATGGGATTTAGCCAGTAAGTGCTTTCTGACAAGCCTCCCTGCTCCTGTATGTCTTCCCCACCAGAGTGTATATCTCCTCAACATCAACCATTAAGGAAGCATTTTAAAGGGCTGAAGCTGGACACCAGAATAATTTAGGTTGCAGTCTGTGCTCCTGTCTGAGCCACTGTCTCTTAGTTGCAAATCCACCCTTCTATACTTTATCTCACTGGCGCTAAACTGCAGTTTTTATTTCTCTTTTTAAGATGCCTCCTGTTCAGTTCTGAGAATAGGAGGCGCCACAGGAAGGCAAGGCAGAAGGAAAATGAAGGGACTTCCCCATTCCATTCCAAGGCTGTCCTTGCATAAGGACTGTCCTGATAAAGACCCTCAGCTCCACAAGCAGCATGTGGTTCAGCCTCTAGCTTCTCTTTGCATTCCCAGGACCAGCCTCATCATGCCCCAGGCATTGTCCCCTTCCTGAATGTCTGGGCCCTATGTCCTTGGGAGTCTTCCCCAAGGTGATAACCCCATCACGTTATTTTCCTTCTCTACCCCTCAGAAGAGTAGCTTTTTCTTTATCTGAACTGTACTTGATACCAGAAGATTCTGAGATTTATTTGGTCATTCCCATGCCCTTTAATGAACACTGATGTCCTTTCCAATGGGAAATGAAGTATTAGTAATTCATAATATGAAGTCACATCACATGTAATTAAAATGATTGCTTCTTTTTGATTGCAATGAAATATCCTGAGAACCAAGTGAACCTCAAACTTTAACTTTTATAATACTTATGATGTCTGTGAGAGTTGTGTGAGATGGCCTCTCTTGACATATCTGGAGAGTGTACAGACATAAAAGGATAAGTTCAAGGGTTTTCATTCTCAGTTCAAATAGTAGATAACAATAGAGCTTTTATGGGAGTTTTAAAATAATCCCTTGTTTCTTGTAGATGCAGGGCTGACTTCTCATAAAAAGTAGAGGCATATTTTATTTATGCGGATTGTAGAGTTATAAGTCAGCATCTTACACTAGCCATGACTCTCATGAGAAAGGACATTAATTGAGAAGGAGAGTGAGGCTGAACCGTGTATGGTGACATATGAGTGGACTTGAATAATGCTGAGAATCTGAGAACCCTAAGGCTTTCTAGGACTTTCTTAGTAATGGAAGCAATTGACCTTCCTGGATTATCCTATAAGTCTTAGTCATTCTGAAAGGTAAACTCCAAATCAACTAGGTGAGATGCTGACTGACAAAAAGCATAGCAAAAGAAAGCTATTTATATCAACTACAGTCATGTAAATAATTATAGAAATGGGGACTATACAAGCTATGCATATATTATTCCTTGTTTGCTACTATTTTCATGAGGAAAAATACAGCTCTATCTATCCATAAAAATCACATGGATATTTAGACATATTGATACTTGTATATATTGAATACTTTCTTTGGACCTCCTTCCCTCTCCCCTTACTATTTTATATAAAGGTTCTTTCATCATGAATGGGTTTATAATTGAGTTTGGGGGAAAAAAAATATTCAGGTGGCACTGTAATTTTGTTGAAGATTAAATATCATCACCCAGAAATGGATACTGTGATTGTTGCTTAGAGATGGATATAATGACTGTTGGTATCTTGTATCTCCTTTTTTGGACAAATGATGAGGGCATTTTTGTTTGTATGAAGGATAGCTTCACCTTACTATTGAGAAAAAGTATAAATACAGAAGTGTATATGTGGCGCAGAATAACCAAAGAGGGGAATTATGTCAGTTATGAAGCATTGATCTGTCAGTTCAATATCCAACCTTCTATACTCTAGTTTGAGATATTGGGGCTGGAACTGTAATTTTCATTTCTTTTCTGCCACTAGGATATCTGTCAGGTTCTTCCAATAGGAGGCACTGCAGAAAGACTAGAATGCAGGTGAAAAGAGAAAGGAATGTTCTCCCTTTTGTTACTTGCTTTGCTTTTATTTATTTTATTTTTTTAGTTAGTTTTGTTTTTTTCTTTATTGATTAAGTATTACATATGTGTCCTTATCACCCATTGCCCACCCAACCCCCCACTCATGCCCTCACCCCCCTGTTGTCTGTGTCCATTGGTTAGGCTTATATGCATACATAAAAGTCCTTTGGTTGATCTCTTTCCCTTACCCCCACCCTCCCCCACCTTCCCTCTGAGGTCTGATGGTCTGATTGATGCTTCTCTGTCTCTGGATCTGTTTTTGTTCATCAGTTTCTGTTGTTCATTATATTCCATAAATGAGTGAGATCATGTGATATTAATCTTTCTCTGACTGGCTTATTTTGCTTAGCATAATGCTCTCCAGTTCCATCCATGCTGTTGCAAATGGTATGAATTCCTTCTTTTTTACTGCAGCGTAGTATTCCATTGTGTAGATGTACCACAGTTTTTTAATCCACTCATAGGCTGTTTCCAAATCTTAGCTATGGTAAATTGTGCCACTATGAACATAGGGGTGCATATATCCTTTCTGATTGGTGTTTCTAGTTTCTTGGGATATATTCCTACATTGTAATAATAGTTAATTCAGTCTCCATATTTGGGCACAACCAGAACCAGCCTTATTATGCCATCCCAAAGGAACCAGTTTCAGCCAAACAGTCTCCTCCTTGTGATTGGGATCCCAAATATACAAGTGTTCTCTCCTGCACAATCCTGAGATACTAGGGGCCTGTGGGGTCTAAGAGGCCTAAGACTCAGCTATGAGGAGCCCCTCTTCTGATTACCTGCCACACCAGTGTCATTCAGGTGGCACCCTGCCCTTGGAAGTCTAATCCCAGCTCTGGGGTTTCCTTCTTTGAGCTGCTACTTCCTAAAAGAGAAGCAGGCCCTGTATCATTAGACTAACTTAATTTTGATAGAAAAGGATAGCAATGAGACAAACGAAAGGACCTTCAAAGGACTTCCACCCCAGCCCCTACTTCTATAGATTAAAATAGCACGAAGTCTCCCAGAAACCAAGAGATTTGGTCTTGAAGTTAATTAATAGGGAAGTTAGATGGAGATTTCAGTCTCCTCGTGCTTAGTAGAGTGTTGTTTCTATTAAAATCTAATTTGTTTGGCTATAGAATTTTTGCAATTTTTCTAATAAAATCAGGAGTAGTAATTCCAAAATATATCTTTCTGGGTTAGAGCTGAGAATGATCTCAGTAATATTTAAGACCCGACAACAGCTAATGAGGGGTTGATGGATTTGGACAGATTGAAATTCATGCTTTCTTTTACTCCTAGTTCCTGTTTCCCTAAGGCTATTTATTCTTTATGAGGGAAACATGGCTTGCTTTAGATTCAGGAAGAGCTGGGGTGATAGAAAGGGAGAATACTCTCATTTTTTTCAGCTTTACTGAGATATAATTGACAACTAAAATTCCAAGACACTTTAAGTACACACATGATGATTTGATACATGTGCATTGTGAAATGATTCCCCTCATTGATTTAGTTAACACATCCATCACCTCATATATAAATACTAGAGGCCTGATGCATGAAATTCGTGCAAGAGTAGGCCCTCACAGCCCTGGCTTCGTTCTGAAGGTTGTCTGGAAGGTTGTCCAGATGGTTGTTCTACTGTTCGTCCATTTGGCCAATTTGCATATTATGCTTTTATTATTATAGACATATATGCTTACCTTTTTGTGTGTGAGGGAGAAAATTCAAGTTCTACTCTCATCAATTTTCAGTTATACAATACAATATTAAACTACAGTCACCATGTTATACATTAGATCATCAGGCATTATTCATCTCATAACTGAACGTGTGTTGGGTGAGCAGAAAGAGATGAAGAATTAACTATTTTAATTAAAACTCAAGTTTTTCTTTAGAGCTAGGTGACTGAGTCTGGTCTTCCCCTATCTTCTATCTGTTAGAATCTCCAGGAACACTAACATTGGGGTAGAGGTAACCACTTCATTTCTCTGAATTTAAAGAAATTCTGCTGCCTAGCTTTATTAGACAGATCCAGATAACCATGTTCCTTCTTGTTTTATTTAGTGGTATACTCAGAAATATAGAAAATACAAGATATAACCACAGTCATAATATAGAAGGCTGCCTTATAATTACTATGTTTTCTTATAACTTCATGGAATTATGATGAGCATATTATTTTAAAAAGAAAGCTTAATAAGATAAAGCAACACTGTACTACAGTCCAGCTAAAGCTATGTGCACATCATACATAATTTATGACCTATGTATAATTCATATGTATACAAACACCATACTTTATTGAGGCAAAATAGCACAGCAAGGTTAAAAACAGATGGTTAAGCTCAATACAGGCTTTACAATGCCACTGGAAGACATTTTACTGGTATAAAGACCTCCAACATGCTGATATTTACCTATTTATAAATATTTAGACTACTTATATTTTTCTCTCTTGAAAACTAAGCCAAAATAAACATATTTTAAGACAACCTTTGGAATTGTCAGCCTTTCTTATTTTATCTGCTTTGTGGTATATGCTATTCACAATGACAATCAAAATATTGAACAATAAAGGACAAAGATTGGAAATTCACCTTGAATCCATCTTCTTATAAAATTTTTCTCTAGTGTACACAAAAGTTATATTTTTATTACATTTACTGGGGTGACATTACTTGATAAGATCTTATAGATTTCAAGTATACATTTCTATGATACATGATCTGTATACTGCATTGTATACCCACCACCCAAAGTCTTACTTTTCAGAAACCTTCAACTTCCAGTTTTGAGGAGTTATATTATTGCTTTTTAGCTCCTATCTACTTACTAAAAGCTACGTGTTAAAGATTTTCAATTTTGATTTCATGTTCAGAAAAGCATCTATCTACACAAGTCTCAATGCTATTTTTTTTTTAATTCTCAAAATAACTTATATAATACAGGGAGTCTTGTCTGCAAGCTATTCAACACTGCTACTCACTTCCATTGTATCTTTTGAAAGATAAACTATCCAGTATACAAGGTTGAATCCTGCAAAGGCGACTGGGAAGAGAATCCGAGAATACTGGTCTATTTTACTGGTGCCTCCATCGGCTGGAGAGAGTGGTGGGGGTGTGACAGGTGTTGAAGGTAAGATGGGAGCTCTAGTGAGGACTTTGCTGGCTTCAGGGGATGGGACTATTGGCAAGGTCAGGGAGCTGATTCTTTTCTTCAGGTAGTACTTGGAGTCAGGATGCTGTAGATAAAAGGCAAATATTAAGCTTAAGTAAGGAATAGAGATCACTTATTTAGATTCATTTTTTCATTATTGATAGATATTTAGTGACTATTTCCCTATGATGTAAAGACAAAAAAAAATCATCAAGTCCTTATAGTATTTGATGGTGTTACTTTTCCAAGAAAGTAGTAAAATAATTTAAAAAAGAAATGATTTGCTTTCGTCCAGCATCTTATAAATTAATACATCAGCAATTAATGTTAAGCATGTTCCACATATCAGAAACTGTGTTGAGATTGTACCATTAGGAGGACATGAGTAAGGTTGCAAAAGCTTATCCACCCTCTGGTTATGGTTAAGCCTGCTAAGCTTAACTTAAGGGGCTATGAGTTTGGGCAATGAAGGGGGTTTCCATTTGGAATATTTGTTAACATAAGAAAATAATAGCTTGGTTAATTGATACCATACATCTAGATACATTCCCAGCATGCATCATCTTCTTCACACATTCATAAATTTGAACCAGCTGAGATTAAAGAAATATATATATATGAAGGTGCTCATTTGTGTCAAAAGCCAGAGACAAAGTATAAAACTGCCCTTCGATTGAGTAGGATGACTCTTTGACTGTTCATCCCTTGAAGTACAGCTGCCTCTTCGTTCAGAAGTTCTGTCTTGAGAGCTTTCTGCTTCCCATTCAGAATTTCTCCACTGGTTTCCTTCTATCTCAAGTGACCAGAAAATGATTCATTTACTCCCCTCAGAATTGTCATATCTGGTTTCTCTATCATTAAAATTTCTGTTCTATTGAAATCATAAGACAACCAGTCTTAATCTTGGAAGGAATATTTAGCACATGAATTGATAGATGAGAAAGACAAGGTCCAGATAGGAGAAATGCACTGCCCCCACTCCCACCCCTCCAGCCCCTGTTGCACAGCTGGTGATACATTTCAGTGCTTGTTTCATACCCAGATTTTCTCGTCTCTAGTCTAAGTATTGGGCCTCATTCAGAGATTCCAATCTGTTTGCTTTAGATTCCTTTTATGCCTTTGAAAACTAGGCGCCTTCCTCTGATTCTTCCCTTTAATTATCTCCATCCTGTAAGCCTCACTTGCCTCACCGCCAGGTTGTCCTTGCTGGGTCTCTGCCTTCAAACACTTGCTGTACATCATCCCTGCTCTTCTAAAACCACCTTGTTTCCTCCCTGGCAGCAAAATCAACACTTTGTTGCCTGGCAGGGTATATTCCTCACGTGGCAGATGCCTGTGGCTTTAGCCAGCAACCCCGCTGCCCCCGGGAGAGGGAGCCACCTCCCCTCTGCTGGTTGAGCCACAGGACCAGCGCGACCCACCGAGGTGGTGACATTTGCACTGTGGGAAACAACTGCCCAAAGAGCCTCTCCTCCCTGCATCCCCCTTCTTGAATGTTGCTGTGATTTGTCAGTGAGTATCTAAGTAATAATAGTCTTCATAGAAAGTTCAAGCCCCGTATGCTTTTAGGAGACGTGGGGAAATCTATTTCTTCACCAAAAGCTAAAAAAGAATCTGTGTACTCAAGTCTAATTCGATATGAACGTGGTGAGTTTCAAGCAAGTATCTTTATTTGTTGTCTATTGGCCCAGGATTGTGCTAGCCACTCAGGTCAGAATTAAATAAATCATGGGTCCTGGAGGTAGAAAATAACTTAAAGTATAGATAGACCAGTCTGCTGGTCTAGGACAGGAAATAAGTGATACTTTCTATGAAAAATATGTGACAGCTGCCCAGCTGGCCTGGATCAGTGGTTGAGCATTGACCTAGGAACCAGGAGGTCCCATTTCAATTCCCGGTCAGGGCACATGCCCAGGTTGCAGGCTTGATCCCCAGTGTGGGACGTGCAGGAGGCAGCTGATCAATGATTATCTCTTATCATTAATGATTCTATCTCTCTCTCCCTCTCCCTTCCTCTCTGAAATCAACAAAAATATATATTTTTTTTAAAAAATATGGGACAGCTAAGGACCACTGTGCTGAAATTCACCAGACACGGTGTGGATAAGACCAGAGTGGTGGTAGTTTGGTCTCCATGGTCTTAGAGAAGACGTATAGCATCATCTTACAAGAGCTTTTATCACATTTCTCACACTTTAATTTGAATTTTCATTCAGTAAATATTTCATTAGTATATTCCTTTTCTGACCCAGCGAAATGTGTCACTGTTTCATTCTACAAAAAAAAAGTATCCTCCTCCCAGATGGATGGCCCATTAAAGTCTTTTACTCTAGTAACATTTCTAAGGGTCATGATGACGTCACAGGAGGGCAAGCCTTTAGAGCAGATTTTCTTCCTGAATTTGTCTTGACTTTTAATAGAACACATTGCCTCTCTGAAACCTGTATTATTTTTTTCTTTTTTAGGGAGAAAGGGGGCAGGCATTAAAAAGTTTATTGACATGAGAAAGTGATTGTAAAACATAACATGCCATAAAAATGTAAGGCATTGTTTCATCTCTCCCTCTTTTTAAGAGATGTGGGGACAAAATTATTTGTCAATTTCTTGGCATTGCCACAGTGTCACAAATGACTTAAAATGAGGTTGCCAAGTACACCTTGTCCAGAGTTAACCAATATCATTCAAGACCACACACCATGAAAATTTTAAGCACAGTGTTATTAGCCTGGAATTAAATGTCCCCTACAATAGGATGACACCTTTCCTCATTGTTTTCCCCAAATCATCTCTGTGGAGAGTTGCTTACATGTTAAGAGGACAGGAGAGTCAGAAAGCCCTGGGTTGCAAGTCCATGTATACTACTGAGCTGCTATGACTTAGAAATGCCACAGATTCCATATACTCTCCCTAAGCCTCAATGTACTATCTTTAAAGTTAGGGACAGTGTTCTTTAATTTCTTTGAAAGTGTTCTCTTTCTTTCCTTTAAGAATTTGAGAAAGACTTTTATACACACACACACACACACACACACACACACACACACACACACACTTTGTATACTTTTTGCCTGCCTAGCTGCTACAGCTCTTTTAGCTATTATAAAATACTTCCCTTTAAATATTATTTCTGTTATGCCTTATCTCCTTTCCTGACATTAATGGTAGATGGCATATTCTTGCCATACATAAGTGTTCCACAGTGCCTGGCTAGTGCATGGAACATAGTATATGCTGAATAAACATATGCTGAATCAACAGATGAATGAATACCTAAACATTTTTCAAGGTTTCTTTCCGTAGACAGGCAAAGAGAAAGGAGCCAAAGGTCTTATGATTATTTTATATCTCAGTACGTTATTTTACATTACGTTGTAGGTACCGGATCTAAATGCTTGCTATTGACAAGCACTGCACAGCACTCTGCATGCATTATTTTGTTTATCCCTAGAAGGAATCTATCATGTAATAATGTTATTTTCATTTTAGAGGTGAACAAATGGAGTCTTAAGCAGAAAGCTCACACAAGTAGTAAGTGGCAGCACCTGAATTCAGTCCCTCTCAGATTCCAAAGATCACACTCAACAATTATTATTTCTTCCCATCAGCTTTATGATTTAGAGCACGGTTTCTCAGCCACAGGGCTATCAATGTTCTGAGTAGGATAAATATTTGTTGTGGGGACTGTCCTGTACATCATGGGGTGTTGAGCAGCATCTCTGTCCTCTAGCCACAAGATGCCTATAGTACCCCTCCCTCCGCTTCTTCCCAGAGTTATGACAACCATAAATATCTCCAGACCTTACCAATATCCTCTGGAGGGGAGGGGGGGGGATTCGCCTACCATTGAGAATATCCGCTTTACAGTTACAACTGTCCCACAGCCCAAAGGTGACTGGGGGGATTTCTAACAGGAAGCAAAAACATATGCTCAAGGAAATGTATGACACCTGGCTAAGGCACACACTGGATAATCAACTCCTGGATAATTGGGAATTCATCGTACAGGAGACTGGACGCCAATTTAGAAGAATCACATTGAATTTCTGAAATGAAAAGAAAGCCAATTTTCCAAGCCATTCAGCTCCAGGTTTTCATCAGACCCTGCCTGCCTGCTCATTGTAAGCTCCGCAGCTTCAGTTGATGGTGAAATAGGCTTTTGTCGGAGTCCAGATGAGGGCTCAGCTTGGGGCTGTCACAGCTTTGAGTGGAACACCTGTGGTTTTGAATTCTTCTACGGCCCCCTGCTGCCAAGTGCCATCCTGCTCTGGGTATTTTAAGAGCACAGCTTTGTTTTAAGTAACACCATATTGCAAAGATACTTTGAATCAAACTGGACTTTAAGGCCATCAGTATTTGCTGTAGGGATAAGGCATCTGGGGGGTACTTAGAGCAATTCAGATACAATGTTCAGTGAGTCTAACACATTCCAGAGAAGGGGGCAATGGGTTACCTCTCAAGAGAGATTCTAGCTGGGGGCTGCATTACTCAAAGGACTAGCATTGCATCTGCTCCTAGAACAAGCAAAAGAGGGGCATCAAAAATAAGAGAAAATGTTTTTTAAACATTTAGTGTTTGACATTTCTTTAAACTGTCCTATTGTATTAGCCTATCATATCACTGTAGAGAAAATAAGAACTCCATCCAGTTTTCCTGCATTTATGCTACAGCTGGTAGAACTGGAAACAGAGCTGAACCCAAAAATTCTAGAGAGAAGCAGCTTATTGGCAGCAATCTGGTGGGTCAGTGGTGCGAGGGGCATGTCTGGAAACCATATTGGAATGTTTGGAGGGTGAAGAATGGAATATTAGATGAGGATTTGATAGAAGATATGGGGGAAAAGCTAACCACCCATATCCCTCACCTAATCCACCCCTCAGTCTTGAAAAGTCCAACAATGGCACAGCCATGAGAAGGGGCACCATGATGGTCTTAATTCAACCCTTCATTCTATTGAGGAATGGTGGTACTCAAATCTTGGCAATATTTGGAACAAAGGAGGTAAATCTTTCAGTATTCTGTACTCCATAGGGTCACATGGTAATGGCCCAGCAGACATTCCAACCTTGTAAAGGGAAGAGGCCCTATTGATGTTACTCATTAATGTATCCTCAGCATTCTACAAAGGATCTGGCACATAAAAGTACTTACAAAAATTCAATGGGTAGATTCTCAATAAATGGGTACTAGGTGAAAAGAAAAATGAATAAATGAATAAACAATGTAATCAGTATAACTATAGCCATTGTCCAGACTAATGACATTTTGGTCAATTTTGTTTGTAGATTATTTACCAAGGACATCATACCTCCTCTGAAAAAGAAAAGCCACATTTGATGCCTTGATGGGGGGGAGAGGGGGAGGGGGTTGTGGGGAGGTGATTCTCTTAGGAACAAGTAATGAGAGCTTGGACTTTTAAAATAGTAAGGAAGTTAGCAAAACATTCAAAAAGAGATCAAGGTCCAAACTTGGTTTTGCATGCAGAATAGTATACCTCAAATGCAAGTTCTGAAATACAAAGACAGAAATCGCTCTCTAATGCCTAGATAACCTACCAGATAAAAACAGTAAGGAAAAATACCATATAAATACAAGAGAAATTGTGGATAATTCCTTCTCAAAACCCAAATAAAATAAAGTCTCCAGTTCCAAATGCCTTAAAAACAGAAAACTAATTAGTCTATAAGTACTTCTGAGGATTCAGTTTTATGCGTTTCGTCCTGTTTGAGTACTGGATTTAAAATGCCTGAATTTCTTGTCATTATCTATAATAACAAAAGCGTAATATGCTAATTAGACCAGATATCCTTCCGGAAGACCTTCCAGATGAAGCCAGGGCTGCGAGGGAAGCCTGGGTCCCGGGTGCCAGAGGGAAGCTGGTGCCAGCAGCCGGGGGAAGGAAGGCCTGCTCTTCCATGAATTTCTTGCATTGGGCCTCTAGTTATATTGTATTTTAAGGTCAAAATCAGTGATACACTTTTCTCTACATTTATTATAAGAAGTTGCTTATGAAAAGCAGTGAGTCTTTTAAAATATAAAACTTAGAATCATAAAATATTCAAACTCTTATTTCATTTCAGCTTCACCATTGGCATGCTATTTCAATGTCCAAGTTACTCAAGTAATGTTGTTTTGATTACAACTGGATAGGCATTTTTAAATGTCATGATATTTGAAAGGAAAAAATGACCTCGCAATCATAATATACCATTGTGTTGTATAATTTTTGTTCTGCTATGTTGTATAAGACAAGCGTCCAAGTTTTGACATAAATAAGTAAAATGTAAATATTCTATGTAATCATCTATATTTATTTTTGACATCTACAAGATTTGTATTGGTAAGTTTAATTTTTGTTTTTTATTTTTATGCTTTGATCTAGCCTTTCAGAAATGAAATTCTTCTTTTCATTGCCTTAAATATTTTAAGTAGAGCCAGGTTTAGAAATATATTATTCATAAGAAACACGTCAACTTGCAAAAAAAGGTACTTTGAGTTGATTTAAATGCAATATTGTAACCAGCTTCCCAAAGGATTGCAGAAGATAGTTTATATGAAGGCCTGAGATCTTAAATTTCATCTTATTAATAAATTATACCTTTAAAATAAAGGCTAAAGGAATAGTAACCATACTTTCTCCAAGGATTTAAAATCATATTCCTCTCAGTAATATATATTTCAAAAGAGTTAAAGAAGTTGGTCTTCCTTTTTATTTCTACATTAGATCAATGAGCATGTTCAAAGTCATCAGAGTTATTTTTTTACCCTGTTTCTCATGAATTTCTCTTTTAATTTTTACCATTTCTCAAGTAATAAACTGTTAAACTGAATTCTTATAAACATTAATTCTTCCTTTATGGATGTATGTTAGTATATAACCTTTGGACAATATTTTGATTATATACCTATGTAAATACAGATGGTTTATAGCATAATCACTTATTTTTACTAACAAAATAATTCTCAAAAACATTTGGAATTTTTTTGAAAAAAGTGATTTTCAAGTGTTTTGGGCTAAATCTTCAGACTAACATTTTTGTTATAAAATTTATATTTTTATCACCTTTCAAAACATATCTACATTTAAAAAACACACACACATCATTATGTCAAGGGAAGAATTTTGGGAATGACCTCACCTACATTCTGAAAACATTGTATGTTTCAGTGTTTGAGGAATTGCTGGGGAGGGGAGGGCCTCTGTACAGTTTGTGGATATCAAGAGTTCTAAAATCAATTTCTAGTTTTTCTACCAACTAGTAACTAATAATTTCCTCTGTTTTCAATTTGTAAGTGAAAATCATTGGACTATATTACATGACCTGTTTTTTAGTTAGTGATAATTCAAGAAAAAAATATTTACATTATATATTTCCATTTATCATGGGAATAGCCTTATTTTATTCCTTGAAGAAAATGTAAATTCTCAAACAAGTTTCTTAGTTTATCAAAGAGAAAAGTTTAAGTAAAAAATTATCATTCTTTAGCTGATAGATGCCTGAGTATTTGAGAAGTAGAGTACACATAGCCTTATAATTTTTATCATAAGAATTAACCAAGAATTAGCTGGACTGTATGTGGTTCTACAGAATTTTCAAGAGAATTGATCAATTACAAGGAAATTTTCAGTTGATATATCCACATTACTAAATTTTATAGAGCAAAATTTTTCTCTTTTCAGGAGTCACTGTTTTGACTTTGTATTCATACAAAAATGTATACTTGTCAATTCTATAATCCATTTAAAAAGTTTGTGCAACTTAATTGTTGAGAGAATTCACTGATATGTAAAGTTGAAATTTGGGGACACATTTATGACCCTTGAATTATTAATGCTGTCATTTGTTTCTTACTCAAAGCACCTTTGGGGACCAGAGCTTAGCCACAGCAAGTCTAAACTGAATTGTATAGGTATTTCTCACTGAGCATAAGTCTTTGACTAAAACCATACTTATATCAATGTTTTCATATATGAATATGAGAATGTTTTCATATGCTTCAAAAACTTGGCTTATGACTCAGCATTCACAGAACCTAATACTCACATCCTGTCCTCATGGATGAAACCAGCAAGCAGATTTCCGATAACAATTGTCCGTTCCTTCAGAGTCCCTGTTTATTTCCTTCAGGCTCTGAAGTCTCAAAGGCTCATTAAAAACATTATTTTTTTTTTTTTACTTTATTCTCCCTAGTTGGTTTAAGTGAACCTGTCCAAAGCAAGCATCTAAAGGCTAAGAAGAATTTTCTTGTCTCTGAGAGCTTGGGACCTGCCAGTACTAATGAGGGTGATGAAAGAGACATGCCAAAAGTTTAGGTCAAAGATAAGTGAAGGATTGTTACTTGGCTTTTTTCTGTGAAATTAGAAAAGAAGTTGGCCTGGAACTAGGCTTATGTAACTCGTGCTCAACTAGTACTACTTTTGGACTATTTTGTTATTTGTGATCACCGTTTGGATTACCTTTTTTATATGGTGGGTAAGATTAGTAAAATAAACAATTACCAAGACAATTTCAGTTTCCAAGGGTTCCACTGCTTTTGATATTGTCGCTGGGGGTGAGGCTGCAGTCTGTGTCTTTCTTTTGGCCTTTTGTGTCTGAAGATTGGTGAAGTAGTTGACAGCTGCAAACTCAATAAGAGCAGAGAAGACAAAAGCGAAGCACACAGCTATGAACCAGTCCATGGCGGTCGCATAGGACACTTTGGGCAAGGAGTGCCGGGCACTGATGCTTAAAGTGGTCATGGTCAAAACAGTGGTGATCCCTGAAATGAAAAAGAATAAGAAATGCAGAATTAGCATTTAGAATCCAATAAGAAGATGAAATGAGAACATGTTGTTGGCGAGGATTAAACACTCTCCAAATGTAATTTTTGTTATTGTTTCATTGCTTTATAATTGTTCACAATTATTATGATAGGTATTATCATTTTTGTATCCGTTCATACCTAGTGCAGTGACCTGTACATTATAATAACTCAAAACATATTTTTTGAATTGATTTAGCTTAACTGTTATAAAATTTAAGTCATGAAAAATTTTAGTTGTTTACTTCTTTAGAAAACTTAAAGCATATTATCACTAAAGTAATAAAACCTTGAACTTCTGATCAATTTTAATAGCTGATAATATCTTTGATTATATTTAAGAGCTCTGTCTGGTATCTATACTAATAAAAGGGTAATATGCTAATTGAACCAGACATCTTCCGGACATCCTTACAGACGTTCTTCTGGACAAAGCCACGGTGGTGGGGGCCAAGGCAGAGGCAGTTAGGGGTGCTCAGGCTGGCAGGGGAGAGCAGTTAGGGGCAATCAGGCAGGCAGGCAGGTGAATGGTTAGGAGCCGATGGTCCTGGATTGAGAGAAGAATGTCTGACTGCTGGTTTAGGCCCAATCCCTTATCCCCTGAGTGGTCCCAGATTGGAGAGGGTGTAGGCTGGGCTGAGGAACACTCCCCCCCCACACACATGAATTTTGTGCACCGGGCCTCTAGTGAATAATACTCATAAATTGGGTTTCTCAACTTTTTTAATATTTCTAGCTTGGTTTTATAAAGTAAAGTACTTTCTCACAAGAAAATAATTTTGATATTCATCTGCCAGCAGCTTTCTGTCTTGAATTCTGAGTTGGGGAATTTATATAATTTGAATATGGTCAACATTGTAATATAGCTATTCTTTTATAATTTGTATAAAGAGATCTATTTTAATATAGTAAATTAAAAAGTCAAAATTCATCTGATATTTCAGTTCAACTTTAGTCTTCCTTAGGAACTGCCAAATTGGTAATCATAACAATGCATAAAAGGTTAATATTGTTAGTGCTGATATTTTCTGTTATATCTCATTTTACTTTCTTTCATCAAAACTAGTGGTGGTTCTATTCATTATAAATAGGACTAAATATTTAGGTTGAAACATGGGAAATTAGTAATACTTAACTATTTTTAGACATAGAAAAAGAGCAATTTTTTATGGTTCAACCTAATAAAAGTGAGATACAATGTATATGATATAGGTTCAAAAAACTTAGCCTTTTTATGGATTTACATGTAGGTTTTAACTTTCGGCACTCTCTTGGTTCTGAAAAATAAAGATTTTTTTTTTAAAACCCTACTAAGTAGGACATATGAAAGTCACAGGAAACCAACAGAATTCTCACTGAGACAAATTTTTTGTTGATTCACCACACAGCTTGTAATAAGATAAGGGTCATTTTACCTGATACATGTGTCTGAATGAGATATGCGTCTATTTCCTTTGTGGACTGAAAAAGTGCACTGGTGTGAATATTTCCCTAAAATACCCAAGGCATGAGAGCTGGAGGATGAATGGAAATAGAGTCCAAAGAGTGAAGCATACCAAAGACAGTTCTGGCGGGAACAGACTCCTTATTAATCCAGAAAGACACCTGGGAAAGAATGACGGTCATAATGCAAGGTGTATATATCTGAATCATGAAGTAGCCCATCTTCCTTTGCAAATGGAAATTAACTGTCATTATTACGTATTCACCTGTTGGAAGACACATACATCAGTATTATTTCTGTTGATAGTGTGTAAAAAGAATACAGCTGGGAATAAACCTCTCAGGTTTTTAAATTAACATGGGCCAGGAGAAAATAAGCAAAGGCTTATTTTAGTGAATGACAAATGCATTAATCATCAGATGATAGATACATCTGCTCACTGTTTTCAGTGGGGTTCTTTGTGTCATTTGCATCCAAAACTATTCATTTCAAGGATATACAAATTTTTACATGCACATGGTTGCAAAATCAATTTTAAAGAAAACTACTCATCACTTCAAAACATCAAGCTTATCTGAGGATGGCTAATGCAAAGGAAGAAGAAATAGATATTTTGAAGATGCCTCTGGAGTCACTTTGCATCCATGCATTGGTCGAATTCTCACCTGTGTTAGATTTAATCGTCTCACTCGATGCTGTTTGTCCAATCAGATCATACTGGAGGAGGCTCGAAGATTCCTCTGGGACTTCGACTGAGTAAAGTGGTCCTTTTTTCCATGTGTATATGATTTCACTTTTGGGGTAGGCATCTGCATTTTTTAAACAAATTAAACATAATAGTGAATCTGACTAGTAGTGGGTTTTTCTTTCAAAGAAAATTTTGTTCGTATAAAAAGGAAATACAGACATGAACTTTCTTTACTGCTTTTCTTTAATCTGAGTAACTGAAAGCTCTGATGGTGACAGATATGATTAAGTAAGTATATTCCAGGAATCACACTTTGAATGTCATAGTTATATTTCTCTTTTGCTTTCCAGTCTCTGACTAAAACCAAATAATGGCATACTTTAATGCAGTTTTTGACTCTTAGAAGCATTTTGTAACTTACAACTCCCAAACTTGAGTGGGCAAGCATGCCCATCCATTGGAAAGTTAACCAGCCTCATAGGACAGTCGGCATTGATGGTAAGCCTAGGAACATTGAAGTGAAAGGTTCTGAGTTAGTATGATGGACACATGAGTTGGGCAGAGGCAGTAGAATTGGCAAAAAACCTTACCTCATGGTGTAGAGAATGGTTCCGTTCTGCATTATTCTGAAGAGTTTATTAGGAGTTGTCATATTGTGAGCAATTGATTTTTTGCCATTCCTGAAAAAAGTGTCAGGTGTCCAGATTTTACTGACCATCAGGTTATTCAAACTCAGAATCTCAGTTGGCCCTCTAAACTTCAACCTCTCATCAGTCCAAGTCTGCCGGAAGAAAACATCCATGGTATACTCCTAAGAGAAAATAAGATATTCATGCAGGCTGGGCAGATGGTTTATTAGAATAGTTTATTCACCAGCTTATCTACCCAATCCTAAAACTTAAGGAACGAAGCAAATTTTTATGGCAATAACCTATCAGGAAAGTTAAATTTCAGTGAATTGTTATTTTTCTCCAAGTTTGTATTATCATATAAGATAGTGCTGTGCTGTGCAAATTTCCCTCCTTAACGTTGACCATCCTCAACATACTTCTGTTTCTGTCACCCATCTCTTCACTATCAACTTTTCAATACCTCCATCCTTAATTTAGAAGAAAAATATGAAAAGATAAACACTCTAGGTTTTGTGCTGCCCTCCTTACCATCAATTAGGCTAACCATTCCCCTTAGCAATTCATTCACCTTCAAAGGTGTCTGCGAGCATCATGATAACATTTAGTTCCAAGGATAAAATTTACTTGATGAGCAGGCTCTTACTGCACATCATAATTATTTTATATGTTTTCAGAGAACATAAAAGCAAATGTTACCATGAATAATCAGAATGAATATTATTCAAGTATGCACAATAATAATTATGAGTTTTAATGTGTGGCTTTTATTAAATAACATTAAGATACTAAGAATTATGATAAGGGTTATTGCAAAAGTCAATGATAAATAACAATGTGATTATATCAAAATATTGACAATAATTGCTTTGCTTACTTCATGTGTTCTTTTACTAGACCTATTACTACAAATAGAGATTATATTTTAATATCTAATTTGACACAGTAGATTCATATAATAATGATTCAGGCTATCACAAGGCTCTATTGTACAAAAAGAAAGGAGACAAATGCAAAAAGTTCCAAGTATCCCCAGATATCAAATAATACAGTAGAATATGGTTGTGCTTATTTATACATAGGTGACTCAGTACACAAATGAAAAATATGGTAGTGAAATAATTGAAGATTCTGATCTTAAGACATTTGCCTCTTAAATAAAGTCCCTATCTCCTCATCGTTCTTATTTTCTTTCTTTTAACTTTTTCCTCTTTTATTTCTGCCTTTTTCTTCCTTTATTTTCTTCTTTTTTCTTTTCTTATCAACTCAAAAAGCAGACCATGAAAAAGTCTCTAACAACTGTTTATCTAAAATTATATTTCCCTAATAAAATGCAATGAGGCACTTCTTTACAAAGTTATGCTCATTTCAGTTTTAGTATTTATATTTTACTTTTAGGAGGAAATTCTACCTAAGAACTATGAAAGCATATTATAGTCTACTTTGTTCTAGGAGGCTAGGTCAGTTTCATTGCCACTTACTATAAATATCCTTTGATGAATACTGCCATCTGTACCTGGAGCAGAGGCCCCAGAACACCTACTGGTCTATTCACTACATAAAAGGTAGACAGCATGGGCCTTTCCAAGTGACTCCCTTCACTCTTTTAATTAAATATACTAGAAATGATGTGCTACAAAAAAAATCTATGTTTTAACTTTCATGGATATTCTCAATATACTCTGACATGGTACCTTTGCTGATTTTTCATTTTGCTACTCCAAACATTTACTAAGACTTCAGAAAGATGTGAAAGATCTTCTCTTTGTAGAGAAGAATCAGCGCATGACATGTGGATGGAAGAGGGGAGAGGAGGTCCAATTATAAAATCCCTCAGATTAAAGTGCTCAAGCAGAGCCCTTGGTGAAGGAGGTTAAGCCAGGAATCTGCTCTAATGGCCATGCCCTCCCAGCATGAGTTCACATGGTGCATTATGGTGCTTGGTAACAGCCTGTTATCATTAGTTCTGGGTCCTGGTCCTCTCTCCCCCTAAGTCAAGTTGCCCTCCTCACTCAGAACTCACTCACCATCTCCACATCTGACACGGGCCCAAAACTGGTCACGTAAATGTCTGTTTTGACTTCAGTGACAGCACCTGAAATTAGCCCAGAAGGATGGGGGCAGTTATCACCAGGGAAGTTGTTGAAGGATCTGAACTTAATGACTACAGCAAAGCCCCTTCTCACAGCTGGAATCTCCAACCCATCCTTAAGTCCCAGTAGTGGGGTCCTTGAATTTTTCAACTCTAAAAATTCATACCAGTTGCCTTATTTTGAATTTAATCTGGTCAATTTGAGGAATTTAAGGAAAAGAAAAGAACTAGGGGAGAACTCTAAAAAAAACACCAATAACTAACTGATAGATTTAATGGGACAAATGCTATGAAAACAGTGTTTCACATGGACAATCTCATTCAACACTTACACAACTCTATCAGGTAAGCACTGTTCATACACTCACACTACAGTTGAGGAAATTGAAGCTGAAAGAGTTCAAATAACTCACATGTAAGGTCTCTAATTGAAGAGGGGCAGATAGTGGATGGGAATACACACATGGCCTCTCTCCAGGACCCCTGCCTTGGAATGGCAGTAAGGGGGAAGGAGTACAGATGCTTGGTCTACTAAAGGATATTGCCTCTCACCTCCAAATCCCGGCCGTAGCCGATTGTCATAGCCTTCAAGCAAGTTGTCCAGGATGCGACTGATGTTCTTTGAGTAGGCATTTCCTTCATCTTCAAAGTCCCCTTGGACATTTTCTACCCTGTGAGTAGACAGTCAATGATCGCCACTCCCAGTCTCAGAGAATATTAGCTGCTCAATCACCTGTGTCTTCCCCACCACGGCCAATGCCACACCACCCGGCTTCTTTCATGGTTTGGTATAGAAGCCACCCAATGGGTGTGTGTTTCTCCTTTCCTCTGAGCTAAAAGGAAAAAATCAGGAAAACGATTTTACTCACCATAAAATAATGTACAGCCAGGGCAGAGGTGACGCCATTCTGCAGTGCCCTGAAATGCCCACTTTGCCTTCCTCCTGGTTTGTCTTCCCGAGCAACCAGCTCCCCTTTGCCAATCAACTAGAGCAACCTTCTGGACCCCCTCATGTCTCTTTTCCTTGTCTGCATCCAGCCAGTAATCCAGTAGATGCTGAGGTTGCCAGACAAGTTTTGAGGGGGTCCCCCTTGTTCTTTTTTCATGTGGAACACGGTGGTTTGTATTCTCAGACTATGTTCTGATGGACACCCAGCCTCCTCCGCCTGACTGGTTTGGGAAATGAGCGTCGGCAGGGACAGGACAGTGCATGGTTGGAGAGCAGTGACAATAATCGAATAAGGCATTAGGGGAGATTGGAAGGAAGGATCCACTGCTAGTTTTGGCAGGGAGCTAGCAGAGCCCTGTGAGAAAATCTGGAAAGCAGTGGCATCTTGCTGATTGAGATTATGTTCCAGTGGGCTTAGCATTTATTATTTCTATGGTTCACAGAAGGATTCCTACACAGCTCTTCCTTCTTAAAAAGTCTAGTGATATTGGGATCCTCTTAGGTTCTCTTTCTGATTTCATCAGCTTTCTTGCGCCAAACACACCTCTCATTGTCCTAAAAATTGTCCTTGTTTGTTCGTTGAAAAAAACTTATAACCCAGCAGAACAAATCCTGGCCATCTTGCTGTTTTTATTTATTTGTTTGTTTGTTTGTTTTGTTTTGTGTAAGTACCTTGTTGATCTTTCCTGTTAAAGGTGTGTCATCTCAAGCTAAGATATATAAATAGATCCTACCATTATCTTTAGAAACCTGGCCAGCTTCATGAATGGTGCCTGTAAGAGACAATGTCTGGAAATAGCTGAGTAAGATTTTCCAGGTAGAAATGCTGTAAGAATAAAGCATCTGTAGACATGGTTAATGATGATGTTGCTGGTACTGTTTTACTGGGCTTGCCACAGGTGTTTGAACTCAAGAAATAGCATTTTTACCAGTCTGGTAGGAGCATGATGGAGTAAAAGAAGTCTCTTTAAGCCTTAAAATTTTCATCTTTAAAGTAAAAAGTAAATCACAATAAAGGAAAACATATATTACACATTGATTATTATATATTAATTTTATATATTAATATATATGTATTAATTCAGAAACATAAGAACAAGAGGGAAATATGTCACTTCACCATCCTCCTGCCAAGTCAAATTCACTCACTATCCACCTAATTTACCCAAGTCTGTACTTTCAGACCTAAATTCTATTAAGGCAATGGCAACTATTGCATACATGTAACACAATCTTAGAGTCATTTCTGAAGACATAAGTCATTTGAAGAGCATTTCAAGACATTAGCTATAACCAAAAAGAAACAACAAAAACAGGACGGATGCAAGATTTTCTATGAATAGTTTTTTAAATTAAATTTATTGGAGTGACATTGGTTAATAAGATTATATAAAGTGGACATTTCTGAGATTCATGACCTGTATATTGCATCGTGTGCCCACCTCCCAAAGTCAAATCATCTTCTGTCACCATGTATTGTGCCCTCTTTACCCTTTACTACCCCACCCCTCCCTCTGGTAACCACCGTACTGCTCTGTCTATGAGTTTCAGTTTTATATCTCACATATGAGTGGAATCATATGGTTCTTAGCTTTCGCTGACTAATTTATTTTGCTTACATGATATTCTCAAGGTTCATTCGTGCATGGGTGGGGTCCCTAGTCCTGGCCAGCAGTCAGGGCCGATCAGGGCCAGACCGATTGGGGACTGCTGGTTGGGGGGAGGGATGGGGCACAGGAGGTTGGCCACCAGCCCCCAAGGAGGGAGCCAGCCCTTGGCCCCACTGGGAATGGGGCCATATCCACCACCATCCACCAGTGGTTCCCCATCCCAGCCTGGGCCCAAAGGCCCCGGGGAGGTTGGGAAAGGAGGCGATGATCGCTGGGCCGGGTGCGGAAGGGGGCAGCTTCTGTATTGAGTGTCTGCCCCCTGGTGGTCAGTGCATGTCATAGTGACTGGTCGACTGCTTGTTCTGGTTGTCCCAGTCATTCCAGTCATTCAGTCTTAATGGTCACTTAGGCTTTTATATATATAGTTATATATATAATCTCACATCTTCTTTATCAAGTCCTTCAAGTCCTCTATCAAAGGACACTTAATTTGTTTCCATGTCTTGGCCACTGTGAATGCATATTCTTTGTAAATAAACGTTTTCAAAATTTTTAAGTAGATACCTAGAAGAGGGGTTGCTAGGTTATATGGTAATTATATTCTTAATTTTTTTGAGGAACCACCAGATTGTTTCCCATAGTAGCTGTACCAGTTTATATTCCCACTAGCAGTGAATAAGTGTTCCTTTTTCTCCACAACCTCTTATCTTATTGATAATAATCATTCTAACAAGTATGAGGTGGTATCTCATTGTAATTTTGATTTGCAAATTTTAATAACTAGTGAAGTTGAGTATATTTTCATATCTGTTGGTCATTGGTATGTCTTCTTGGGAGAGGAGTCTGTTCAGGTCCCCTGCCAATTTTTTCATTGAATTTTTTGTTTGTTTCATGTTGAGTTGTATGAGTTCTTTATAGATTTTGGACATTAACCCCTTGTCGGAGCTGTTTTTCGCAAATATTTTCTCCCACTAGGTTGGTTGCCTTTTTGTTTTGTTAGCAGTTTCTTTTGCTGTTCAGAATATTTTTAGTTTGATATAGTCCCATTTATTTATATTTGCCTTAACTTCCCTTGCTTTTGGAAATTCATAAAATCTT